TTTTTTTTTTTTTTTCCTTTCTTGGACAGGGTTTTATCAAGATCTCGAGAAATTAGGGCTGGAAAGTATGACGAGTCATCTGATGTTTCAGAGCAACATCGTTTACAGAGTCTACAGAAAGCAAAGGTTATTCAGTGGCTCTGCTTTACACCTCCCTCAACAATTAATGATGCCAAGGCTGTTGCTGCTAAACTTCTAATGCGGGCATTGACGCACAGGTAATTATTTTTTTCTTCTTTTAACTTTTCTGTAATACGGTTTTTGTTATTCTTGTTTCAGACATGAATCTGACTGCTTTTCTGGTGACATGGAGTCTCTATCATCTATTGATTTCAGTGACGACTTAAAAACTTTGAAGCCAATTGTATGTAGCTTGTTTAATTGTTTAGGAAGGAACCGATGTGCGATTGTTATGTTTTTTGTTTTTGTTTGTTTGATTTTGTTTTTTTTTTCCTTCCCTATTGGAATAAAATACAAAGAACAAGAACTAGTCTTGCATTTTTATCAGATTTTACATGTTAGTTATATGTTGCAGACAAACACTTAGCGTATTCAATTCAAACCGAATGATCAATCTGAACTTTCTTTTAACAGTAATATACTGTTTCGGGAGTTTTCTCTTATTTCTATGTGGAGGGTCCCAGCAATGCCCATTGGAGCGCACACATTACTTAGTTCACTCGCTGAACCTTTGAAACAACCAACGGAAAGTTTTCTTTCCACAGAGGATCCTGATGTGACTGAAAATTTGAGAGAGTTCAAGGACTGGGTAAGCTTTTGATATTCTTTCTTGCCTGTTGACTAAGTATGACCTCTATTGCTGATTCCACCTATTATGCCTTGTTATTAATTAGAGGGAGTACTACTCTTGTGATGCAAAGTATCGCAATTGGCTAAAAGTTGAATTAGAGAATGCTGAGGTTTCACCGGATGAACTTTCACCAGAAGAAGAACAGAGGGCCGTTATGGCTGCCAGAGAAACACTTATTTCTTCACTTTTACTGTTACAGAGTAAGTTATTTCAGTTTTTCTAGAAAACACTCTCAGAAGCTATTAATGGATCTACAGTGATGTGCACGTTCTCCTCAGCTGTCGAGTGCTGTTTATTTTGGTTCCACTTGACGTGTCACACCTGTGTCTGATTTCACAAAAGATAATCATTGTGCTCTATATATAATTTGGCTATTTTTTGTTCATTTGCATATTTTAGGAAAAGAAAATCCTTGGTTGTTACCTACTCAAGATCATATTTATGAATCAAAGGAGCCTGTGTTCCTGGAACTGCATGCTACAACCATGCTGTCTCAACCTTCTGGTGAGGGTATGCCACCTGATGCTACCTTGTGCACTACATTGACAAGTGCCCTCTTCTCGGCAGTGAGTGAGGAAGAAATTCTGCATAGACAATTAATGGTAAGCTTATTACTTCTCCTATTAACCAGAAAGAGATGCTTCTCCCTTTTGTCTTTTTTCAAGCAATGTAGAAATGTTGTAGTTATCAATGAGGACATCTTGGCGTTCCGTGCTTCTCTTCAGCTAGTGCGTCACATGTTGGTAGCGGCAGAAGGAAGGTGTGGGGGTGGAGGAGGTATGGTGGTAGTCGGAGGCTTGCTGTTCTGGCAGTCGTCCTCTTCTGAACTTTCGGCAACCCTATCAAATACAACAATAATAACCAAGCCTTGTTGCTATAAAATGGGGGTCACCTATATGAACCGCTTTAGGACATTTTGCTCTATTTATTGCTAGATCTACTGGAAGAACTAAAGCCAAGTAGAGCCCAAACAACTACGACAAACCATGTTTTTTCTTGGTCTACACTTCCCTCATCTCACTTGATCTAATGAAATTAAATCTCTCAATGTTTTAAAGCTCAGACCTGACATTGACCGGAAAAAGCAAAGGGGTCAAGGGTTAAAGAGTCGAACCAATATGTGTGTGTGTGTGTGTGTTTATACATAAATAATAAATAACAGAATAATATTTTTAATTGAAATGTATCAAGAGTTTTTAATTTTTTATTAAATAAAATAAGAAAGAAAAATAATTAATTTATTCAAAACCACTACAAAATTGAATTCCCACTTCAAAATCATAGGAAAAGATTTTTATTGTTCCCAGTCCCACCTTGGATTCCCACTACAAAGTCACGGTAAATGTATTGTATAAAGGGATGGGCCAACAGTTGGGTAAACAATCTCTTTAGGCCTTTTATTTCAAGAGGCTTAAAGGTGATTAATATATAATTTTTAAACAGCCAATCAACCGGCAAAATTGGTTCCGAGTCATTCGGTTAGTGAATAGACCAGCCAATTAACTGGTTTTATATTAAGTGGTTTATAGTTTTAATCGAACCGGATTTTGGACTGGTTCCTGGTTGAACAGACTAATCCGGTCCGATTTTTATAAAATTGATCACACATTCACACTTATGAACCACGACCTCTTTAGGTTGATTCAGAACGTGACACAAGCACCATGTAAGCGTCACCTCCATTTGTTAGCGTTTATGGCGACCTTATCAAATGTAAGGCGAAAATGAAGAGATTATTAAGAAAACATGGATATCTCTCCCATATGAAACATGGATATCTCTCCCATATGCCTACCAACATTCTTAATTTTGGAATAGTTTTCATCACACAACATCCAATGCTGCTTCACTTGCAAATCATGGTTTCCCATGGAGAAACATCTCTATTCTTATGAGTCTCTTCATTCTAAGATTAAATCTAATCTTTCTTTTTTATGGCAGCCTTTTCAATAGGGTACTTTTAACACCTGTATATTACCCATCATTTTTGCCCCAATCCAAATGGGTAAAGCCTTGGTTCTCACAAAATACAAGACATTGAGGAAAAAATTGCATGTTCTGAATAAATTTAGGCTATATGAATCCTTTTTCTCACTCTGATATTGTTCCATGTGCTGAAAAATATATTAAAATAAAATCTTTTATAAGTACATCGGGCTATGCAAGCTCATGTTCGCCTCTCCCTTTCCTTACATGTTCTACTGGGATCTCTTCGCTAAAAACAAATTTCTGCCTTCGATATATTCCTTTCTGTGCCACTGAAAATTATTTAAACGTCTTCAATGAACAGTTGATCTCAATCAATGGAGTTCACTTAGATTTTCAAAAGCATCTTCAGATTTATTTTTATTTTTATTTTTTATTATTTGAAAAAGAGTACATCCTAACACTTCTACATTTTGGACCCAATTAAAAGATAGATTCTGATATATAATTAAATAAAATGAGTAACATGCATGATTAGCTATTATGAAATGTTAATAGTTCAATGCCTGTTCTCCATTTGAATTTTAAAAGGTTGCTCTCTTATACTCATATGATACCTTCTCTTCAGCTATACATTCATGTCTGCGTACACGTTAAACTGCTCCTTTTCTGCATTTTCTAGTGCATGCTATTTGGTCAATTTTATTTTTATGTGGGGGAGTGGAGTTGAGAATAGTTTTTAATTATTGCTATCTTTTTTACTAATGTAATTATTAAGAACGGTATGGAAACCACAAGGTTTCACTGTTGTCCTTGATGTATCTGCATGCATTATGCTTGAGAAACGTACGAATTCCTATTTCTTTGCATCAACTGAAATCAAAAGCCTTTATTCTCTGTTGTATGTATCAATTTACATTAGTTCTGAATGTACAGGTGAATGTTTCTGTCTCACCCAATGATAACTACAGCATTGAGGTTGTACTTCGCTGCTTGGCAGTGGAAGGTGATGGACTGGGTCCACATGAGGTCCACGATGGTGGAATTCTTGGTACTGTCATCGCAGCTGGCTTCAAAGGTCAGAAACCGCCAGTTGCTACATTATTTAGAGTATGCATGTGTTATATGGACATGGTTTAATTGATCACAAAATACTGAATAATAGGTGCAGAATTTGCAGTGACTACATATAGTCAGTGTAATGGTGTGATGCTTCCACCTATTTGTACAATTGAAGATCTTTCACATGTTAGCTGGTTCTGCTTTTCTGTTTCTCACTTTTTCCCCCTCATCTTGGTACTCATTTATCGGCTGGGGGACATGAACGGAGTGGGGAATAGGCAGCCATGTCAGGAAACTGGGCTGTATTCTATATTTTGATTCCTGAACATTTCTGTTTCCACTGACTTCAAATTTTAGCGAAGGAACACCAGCTTGTTTAGATTGATTTAATCTATTAAGCTTTATTGTTGAATTTAGGAGTTAGGGAGCACCTGCGTATTACTTTCTTCAGAAACTGTTTGCGATATTAATTAATCTTTTTTTCTTATTCCCTCTGCAATTTTCACTGAGAGACATCAATGTTATGTGTCAGGGGAGCTTTTACGATTTCAAGCCGGAGTGACAATGGAGATCTCTTGCTTAGATGCCTGGTATTCAAGCAGTGATGGTTCTTTGGAAGGCCCAGCAACTTATATAGTTCGGGGCATTTGTCGTAGGTGTTGCATACCGGAAATGGTTCTTCGATGCATGCAGGTAACAAAGCTTGCTGATGTTTACTAATATTTGCTTCTGTCACCATCTATATAAATGTCAAGCTATTAGTATGCATTAAGTTAACCTTATCTCAAAATTCTGTATAATTTTTTTGTGTTCAAAAGAAACTTCTTGAAAGAATCAGCTAAATACAAGTGGATCAAGTGTTTTCCTCGTGTTATTTGTATGTCTAAAAGGTTCTCTACAGGTCTCTGTTTCACTCATGGAGTCTGGCAATCCACCTGATATCCATCACGAGTTCATTGAGCTAATTACAAGTCCTGAGACTGATTTTCTTCATTTATTCAGCCAGCACCAATTGCAGGTGAGTGAGTTTTTAGTTCTCTGTCTGTTTGAACATGGGAAAAGGTAACAAATCCTCATTTTCCCACTAGTGAATCTCCCTTTTTGGTGTTTTTAACTTTCCTTACCTTGTTCACATCCAAGCTAATCTACAAGTGGCTCCATCAAAGTGGGATTAATATTTATTCTTCTACTCTCTCTGTTTTAATTTTTGTTTTTTTTTGAAATTTGGTTTAATTTGATGATTATTTTGGGGGTCTACTTGTTGATTCTCTAGAAGGCATGCCGGGAGTTGAAATAATGGGAAACCTGTTCAAATTTTGCTTAGTTGCTGAGTGATTGTGCAACTGGACAAATAACTTGAAAACCTGGGCGAGACAATTGCAGTAACTCATATTTGAATCATTAATATGATTTAAATCATTTTCAATCTCAGATCTCTATCAATAAAATAACATTAAAATTCTAAATTTGAGCATTACAAGTTTTCCCTTTTAATTAACTGTTGGCCTATTGGGGGTGTTGGTGCTTCTCTTTCTTTCTTTCTATCTTGATGCTTCTGGTTTTTGTGGAAATGTTGTCCGCATCTGGAGATTTGCTATAGATATGTGGGCTATGATAAGAATTTGATTCTATTTCTGTTCTCATCTCAACCACTAGAGTTATTTGCGGAAGTAATTTATACCTTTCCGCCTGTAAGAATCTTCAAATTCATTGGTGCCACGACTTAATCTGCCTGACTAACATTCTTGAATGTGCTTGCAGGAATTTTTATTATTTGAGAGAGAGTACTTATTACTAGAAATGGAGCACAAGGAGTCCATTTCTTGACGAGCGAGCGGGTGTAGAATTTTGAGCTGATGTACTAAGAACTTTTACAATGGCAGTGATCGAGAAATGGGTGAAAGAAGGTGCAGTCCATGAACCACCATGCCCTCTATACTATGAACTTTTACAATAGCAGCGATCATGAAATGGGTGAAAGGTGAAGGCCATAAGCCACCATTGCCCTCTGGTTAATATATAGTAATGTCGAGTTCTCATCTGGCTACTTTTTCAGCCACCTTTTAGTACGTCTCGTGTGTGTGTGTGTGATGACAGATTAAATAGTCCTTGTTATGTCATGTAAGGGCTTGGTTAGCAGCGTAGAGAATATGAATATGAAATCTTGATTGTTTCATCTGGGGATTTACCTTCTTGCTTCATGTTAGTTATCCGATGTCGAGACTCAAATATTATCATGTTTTGATGAAAGATTTGCTACAATATATATTTCGAGTGCATTTTCCATATGAAATTGAATGACCCAAGTTCTTACTGTGGTCTATCGTACTCGTACAATATCTCTGGGTCAAATTGAAATCAAGAGTATTTTTCCGCGAGATTTGGAATTTATATGCTCTTATTGGATTTCGTGAACAGCTGTGTTCGAGCAAAGATGTTTAGTGTAGAATTTGGTGGTTACAACGTAATGATGTAATAACCACACAAGTACTTGAATATATTTCTATGAACTCTGCTACTGAGCCCGGCTCAGTAACCGATTCAGGGACAGGGGGCTGAGGTATCTCATACATTTTTTTTTTTTAATTTCAGATCCAAGGGCTGAGGTGAAAACACCTCGGCACCCTGGGTTTGGGCCTGTTTTTTGGCCTGGCCAACAACCATTTTCCTATTTCTATTATGAATTGCCAACAAGACTTGACTGAAATGGAAGTGGATAGAAAGTTTGACCAATTTTTCGTTCTCATTATGTTGCAAGCTATAATAATGAAAAATTCTAGTCGAGTTTAAGTGCACTTTATAATTGGCTTAGAAGGATATGTCAAAAGACTACAATGAACAATATTGTGAATTTTAAGTTTCAATAAAATGTGGTACAACAAACAAAAATGATCGTATCAATACATTCGTCCAGATTATTATATAAAAATTATCATATCAATATATCTGCCTAGATTATTATATAAAAATTATATTAACAATGTAATTTTTATTATTTGCACCATATTCTTTCTGTATTTTTAATGTCTTCAACTTTTGCTCATTGTCATATTTATGTTCGTTGAATTAGTCCGTCTTAACAATTTTCATTCAAGGAATTTCTTAGGAGTGTGTAAAAAAAGAAAGAAAAAAGTTTGCTCTCTTTTTTAAATAAACAAGAAAAATATATAGGCCTCGTTTGAGAGAGATTTTGAGAATTGATTTTTTGATTGTTTGGAGAAAAGTGGGGGCCATTTGTGAAAGAAAAGGTCAAACTTTACGATTTGAAATAGTAAAATAACGATCAAAAAATCAATTTTTTGAAGTGAAAAATCACTCACACCCCCATATGTAAAAACTCGACAAATTTGTTTCACCTTTTATTGGATACATGCTACAATCTGTTTTCAAATTTTGAATACGCTCATCAGCCCAACGGCAAAGGAAAAGGGCAAATTAGTAACTTCAATAAACCACCGCCCTTCACTTATAAATTCAAGTCCTAAACAGTGACACACGCCCCAACAAAAATATTTGCCCCCAAAAATTCTCCTCCAAGAAATCTCAACGAATTGGTATTTACCCCCAAAATTCTCTCCTCCTAGAAATCTCAACGAATTGGAATCTTGATTGTTATTTTGATCTACGGAAGAGAAATATTTCATATTTGTTGATTTTTGATTTGATTGATCAGGTTTGCTATTTCACATTTATTTCTGGATTTCTTTTATGTATCTAAGCATTTAGGGTTTTCGATTTTATTGTTTTTGCAATCTGTCCATCTATTCATCCACCACCATTGATGGGTCTTCGACGATCAGCCGGTCCCTTTTTCACAATTACTGGGTTGAATTCTTCTGATTTTCCTTGGTGGATTTTTTGGGTTTCGAACTTTAGGACCTTTTTCTCGTTTTATATATCCTTGGATTTTTGGCGCTCGTCGAATTGGAAAAATTCATGAAATTAAGGTTTCTAATACATGGATTAAGTGGTTATTCATTAAGGTTTCTAATACATGGATTAAGTGGTTATTCATTAAGGTTTCTAATACATGGATTAAGTGGTTATTCATTAAGGTTTCTAATACATGGATTAAGTGGTTATTCATTAAGGTTTCTAATACATGGATTAAGTGGTTATTCATTAAGGTTTCTAATACATGGATTAAGTGTTATTCTGAGGATCTTATTGGACGTTCTTCGCTACAATGAAGATCTAATGACTCTAACTCTACATCCTTAAGCTAGGGTTTGATTTGTGGGTTGATAACCAATGGGCATCCTTCCCTTATAAGATAATTTTAAGGGTGAGCTCTACCAATGTGGTTCTTACAATTGGTATCAAAGTGTGCATCCTTCCTTTTTGGCAACGTGGAGAAGGCTACTCCTAGTAGAAGACTAGTTCCGTGAGATCACTGGGAATATGGGCTGACTTGGACCTCGATTTGTAAAAGGGGTGTAATGTAATTAATCTAATTGTATTCCACATTCGGGACCTTACACTTGGTTTCTGGAATTATAACCTATTGGGTGCCCTCCATCTACAGCCAGTTTAAGGGTGAGAAGTTCTACCCGATGTTGTTTTTAGAGAAGACTTGTTAATTGTTATTTCCCATTTAGGAATCTAAGTCTTTAGTTTTTTAATCGGTCAATAAGTTGGATCTTCGACAATAGGTGGGTTTTCTGGACTTATCTTGGGTTTTACAGAATCAGAAATATAAGGTTTCTGCTACATGAAAAGTAGGTTTTCTGAGGGTATTCCGGGAAATTTCTGGCTATAGTGAAGTTTGATTATTGCTGCCTCTCGAATATGGTTATGATATACAGGTTTTTATATGTTCTTTTCAACCGTTGGTATCTAGTACTTGTTAGTAGAATCTCAGATATTGGTTGAGACAGCCTCAGATGGTATCCAAGTGGTTGGATTTCGGAGCTCAGTTTTTGCACATTTGGATACTTGTTCCTTTGTGGCATACGATAGAGGAATTGTATTTGGAGATCAGAAATTTGAATTTGATGGATATACTGAATTGTAATTTTGCATTTGGATTTCCTATCTTGGCAAGATAGAGATTATTGTCTGAATGGAAGCAAGCGCCTGCTTTGACTAACCCGTGATTTGCTGTGTGTATAGTAATATAATGGATGTCAAGGCGGCAAGGAGAGTCACTGTCTTCAATCGACTTGAAGGAGGATTTGCAAAAAACAAAGTCTGCGCCTACTGGCTATCTGGGAGATGCAATCGTGATCCATGCAGGTTCATGCACAGAGAATCACCCCCACAAACTAGGCAGACCCATGCAGCATCACCTGAGACTCATTACCTAAAATCTACCAGAAGGACTTGGAGGAATCCTAATTTCCACACTCCTAAGAATGGTACAGTTTTAACTAATGAAGGAGATTGCTCTAACTGTACAAGTGGTAAAGTTTCCCAACAAGGTGTCTTAGCAAAGAATGGAAGAAAAATTGATCGGAAGGACCAAGAAATGGTCATAACCTCCAATGGAAGTATCCACTGTCGGCAGACCATGCAAAAGACTGCTGAAGCAGTTGAATCTGATAGTAAATCTGTTCAAAAAACCCTGCCAAAGCTATGTAAGTACTGGGTTACAGACAATTGTGTCCATGGCGATAAGTGCAAGGACGTGCACTCTTGGTTCTGTGGATCTGGATTCACGATGATGACAAAGTTAGAGGGGCACACTAAGGTGTTTGCTCATCTGATAACAATGCTTTTATATTATTTCGAATCATATTTAGCCCTTGTTTGAGCTCCATTTTATCAAAAACTCATTTTTGAACACACACTCCAATAAAATTATTTTAGGCGTAAATCGAAAATATTTTCTTATTTTTTAACTACACATTCCCCAAAAAATACTATTTCAAAATACATTTTTTCCCCAAAATGGGGTTCAAACAAGGGCTTATTCTGTTTGTAATTTCCCTATGTTTTTGCACTCCTATTGGAACTGCGTTTCTTTTATACAGTTTTTATGAAATGTTTAGACAAACTATTGTATTCAATATTAACAATATTTCTTTCTAATGGAATTTTGTCCAGAACATTACAGGAATTGCTCTCCCATCTGGTTCTGACAAGCTATACTCTGTTAGTAAAGATAGAACTCTCCGCATTTGGGACTGCAACAGTGGTCAGGTATGGATAGTTTTACTTCTCTCAGTTAATATATCACATTGGGTAAATATGATGTGTGATCAATGATATGATTATTCAACCTCAATGCAGTGTGCTGGCGCTGTTGATCTCGATGGTGAAGTTGGGTGCTTGATTAGTGAAGGTCCATGGCTGTTTGCTGGATTGCCTAATGCTATTAAGGTAAATAATGTTCTTTGTGTAGTTAGTTACATTTTACCATGACAGAATTGACTTTGCTCAGTTTTTGAGTCCTTGTCGAAATTGGTTTCTTTTTACTTATAGGTTTTTTGGTCATTTAGGGATGGAATTTCCAAGCTCAAACAGAACACTCTCTTAGTGAACCTGTTGGTCGAGTTTATTCTATGGTTGTGGACAATAATATGCTTTTTGCTGGAACAGAGGTAACTAATTCTCTAGCTCTTCAGTGTTTCGCTATTATTAAGTTTGTGATTTTGGATCTGTAGTATTGGGAGCACATTTGTTAGCACAGTGTGGTTGTTTAAGCTGAGGAAGATTTGGGTAAATTATTCACTGAAATTCACATCTTGTTGACTATTATCCACATTCTGGTTTCTCATTTTTATATATCTTATGGCTCCAGGACGGTACCATATTAGCATGGAAATGGGGTACTGAAACCAACATTCCTAAACTGGCTGCAAAGATGAAGGGACACAATGGTGCAGTGTGTTCACTTCTTGTGGGAGCTAATAATAGGCTTTATTCGGGTTCGATTGACAATACCATACGGGTATGCTCTCTGATACGAGATTTATTTTTCTCCACCTCTTAGTAGAGATGAATCGTATATATATGTTGCCAATTTACCCATTTGGCTTATTGATCCATGTTAATATGTGAAATGGGAACAGTTACCCTTTATATGCAATTATCAGTCATGTTGCCACTATTAGGACTATTGTTTTGATATGTCTAGTCTTTTAATTTGTCTACTTCCCAAGTTATATTTTGAGCAACTGTTGTCAGAGTTGGAGTCCCTACAACCTTTTTTCCTACTTCCCCCTCCATTTGTTTGATTCGTTCTTTTTTTATAGTTCAATGTTTTGAACTCACTGAAGAATTTTGCTCATGTATCTGCTTTCCAGGTTTGGGACCTCCAAACTTTGCACTGTATACAGACATTACACGGGCATACCGGGGATGTAACATCTGTCATTTGTTGGGACAGATATTTGATATCTGCTTCTGTGGACAACACAATAAAGGTTTGTCACTTCACTGCCATAGATCACTAGTTAGGTTTTGCTTTGGTTCCTGATGGTTATAATAAGATAATTCTCACAGGTTTGGGCTGCAACTGAGGTTGGGAACTTGGAAGTGGTCTATGAGCTCAAGGAAGAATGTGTAAGTTAAAAACTGTTCATATACGACTTCTCTGGAATGCATTATGTGCATTGTATTGCATACCTCTGCCTGTTCTCTGTCTCTTTTGGTCTTTCAGACTTCTTACACGTTCTACATATGTTAATCTTTCAGGGGGTTGCTGCTCTTTCTGGCATGACAGATGCCGAAGCTCAGCCTATTCTTTTCTGCTCATATAACGACAATACTGTTCGCATATATGACTTGCCCTCGTTAGTATCATCAAACTATTATTATCCTTGTTGATATTATTCACCCCCTCTGTGCTGGCTTGTTCATTGTTTATATATGGTTGTAGGTTTAATGAAAGGGGCAGAATATTTTCGAAAGGGGAAGTCCAAGTGATTCAAATTGGCATTGGCGGTCTCTTTTTCACTGGTGATGCAACTGGACAGCTCTCCGTCTGGAAATTGCTTGGAGTTCCATGTGCAAAGGAATCTTGAGAGCTGTTATTTTAGAAAAGCTGATGTCTAGCTGGTCTGGATTCCTACCGGCTAAAGCTATCAGTTTGAATTTGTATTCCTCACACTACTGTGTTTCATTGTTGACAATGTTATGATCCATCCTTCGGTTGTATTCTATTCAGATATGATGTATTTTTGGTAGCAAAAGCTACTGTATGTTGTAATATATGTATGGTCAGCGAATACAATTTTTTTGTCATGAGAGAGGAAAGCCCTTGTGTAAATGTACACTCACTTCAAAATGAAAAGATCATTCTTATTTTTACATAGTAACATCTACATTTTTTCCATCATGTTTTGCGTTATGCAAATTTCAGCTCACGGTGTCTGATCCGTGTCTATCCTGGAGTCGAGTAATTTTATAGTGAATTTTTTCATTAGTTGGTCAAGCAGGTTATATGCAAGAGCATTCGAGATGCTACAGCAAATAAAAGTTTCCTTCTGTTATGTTAAAAACAGAGCTTAAGTCTCATCTCACTATCCATTAATCTCATGTACTCTTGAAACCTAATGAGCCATTAACGAAAGCCAAAACACCTGACAATAAATCAAAACGGTAATCCCTACAACCTATAAACAAAAAAGGGGTATTGCAGCCTAACTTGGAAGAAGAATACGCACTTTCTGCATTTTGTAATCTTCCTGTACTTGTATTGATGCTGCTATCCTCTTTACACAATGCTAGTAAAGAACACGTGCTTTCTTTTCTCTCCTCTCTTGGCTACAGTGCTCACTTTCTAACTTACCTTTAAAAAATTGCATGTTCTGAATAAATTTAGGCTATATGAATCCTTTTTCTCACTCTGATATTGTTCCATGTGCTGAAAAATATATTAAAATAAAATCTTTTATAAGTACATCGGGCTATGCAAGCTCATGTTCGCCTCTCCCTTTCCTTACATGTTCTACTGGGATCTCTTCGCTAAAAACAAATTTCTGCCTTCGATATATTCCTTTCTGTGCCACTGAAAATTATTTAAACGTCTTCAATGAACAGTTGATCTCAATCAATGGAGTTCACTTAGATTTTCAAAAGCATCTTCAGATTTATTTTTATTTTTATTTTTTATTATTTGAAAAAGAGTACATCCTAACACTTCTACATTTTGGACCCAATTAAAAGATAGATTCTGATATATAATTAAATAAAATGAGTAACATGCATGATTAGCTATTATGAAATGTTAATAGTTCAATGCCTGTTCTCCATTTGAATTTTAAAAGGTTGCTCTCTTATACTCATATGATACCTTCTCTTCAGCTATACATTCATGTCTGCGTACACGTTAAACTGCTCCTTTTCTGCATTTTCTAGTGCATGCTATTTGGTCAATTTTATTTTTATGTGGGGGAGTGGAGTTGAGAATAGTTTTTAATTATTGCTATCTTTTTTACTAATGTAATTATTAAGAACGGTATGGAAACCACAAGGTTTCACTGTTGTCCTTGATATATCTGCATGCATTATGCTTGAGAAATGTACGAATTCCTATTTCTTTGCATCAACTGAAATCAAAAGCCTTTATTCTCTGTTGTATGTATCAATTTACATTAGTTCTGAATGTACAGGTGAATGTTTCTGTCTCACCCAATGATAACTACAGCATTGAGGTTGTACTTCGCTGCTTGGCAGTGGAAGGTGATGGACTGGGTCCACATGAGGTCCACGATGGTGGAATTCTTGGTACTGTCATCGCAGCTGGCTTCAAAGGTCAGAAACCGCCAGTTGCTACATTATTTAGAGTATGCATGTGTTATATGGACATGGTTTAATTGATCACAAAATACTGAATAATAGGTGCAGAATTTGCAGTGACTACATATAGTCAGTGTAATGGTGTGATGCTTCCACCTATTTGTACAATTGAAGATCTTTCACATGTTAGCTGGTTCTGCTTTTCTGTTTCTCACTTTTTCCCCCTCATCTTGGTACTCATTTATCGGCTGGGGGACATGAACGGAGTGGGGAATAGGCAGCCATGTCAGGAAACTGGGCTGTATTCTATATTTTGATTCTGAACATTTCTGTTTCCACTGACTTCAAATTTTAGCGAAGGAACACCAGCTTGTTTAGATTGATTTAATCTATTAAGCTTTATTGTTGAATTTAGGAGTTAGGGAGCACCTGCGTATTACTTTCTTCAGAAACTGTTTGCGATATTAATTAATCTTTTTTTCTTATTCCCTCTGCAATTTTCACTGAGAGACATCAATGTTATGTGTCAGGGGAGCTTTTACGATTTCAAGCCGGAGTGACAATGGAGATCTCTTGCTTAGATGCCTGGTATTCAAGCAGTGATGGTTCTTTGGAAGGCCCAGCAACTTATATAGTTCGGGGCATTTGTCGTAGGTGTTGCATACCGGAAATGGTTCTTCGATGCATGCAGGTAACAAAGCTTGCTGATGTTTACTAATATTTGCTTCTGTCACCATCTATATAAATGTCAAGCTATTAGTATGCATTAAGTTAACCTTATCTCAAAATTCTGTATAATTTTTTTGTGTTCAAAAGAAACTTCTTGAAAGAATCAGCTAAATACAAGTGGATCAAGTGTTTTCCTCGTGTTATTTGTATGTCTAAAAGGTTCTCTACAGGTCTCTGTTTCACTCATGGAGTCTGGCAATCCACCTGATATCCATCACGAGTTCATTGAGCTAATTACAAGTCCTGAGACTGATTTTCTTCATTTATTCAGCCAGCACCAATTGCAGGTGAGTGAGTTTTTAGTTCTCTGTCTGTTTGAACATGGGAAAAGGTAACAAATCCTCATTTTCCCACTAGTGAATCTCCCTTTTTGGTGTTTTTAACTTTCCTTACCTTGTTCACATCCAAGCTAATCTACAAGTGGCTCCATCAAAGTGGGATTAATATTTATTCTTCTACTCTCTCTGTTTTAATTTTTGTTTTTTTTTGAAATTTGGTTTAATTTGATGATTATTTTGGGGGTCTACTTGTTGATTCTCTAGAAGGCATGCCGGGAGTTGAAATAATGGGAAACCTGTTCAAATTTTGCTTAGTTGCTGAGTGATTGTGCAACTGGACAAATAACTTGAAAACCTGGGCGAGACAATTGCAGTAACTCATATTTGAATCATTAATATGATTTAAATCATTTTCAATCTCAGATCTCTATCAATAAAATAACATTAAAATTCTAAATTTGAGCATTACAAGTTTTCCCTTTTAATTAACTGTTGGCCTATTGGGGGTGTTGGTGCTTCTCTTTCTTTCTTTCTATCTTGATGCTTCTGGTTTTTGTGGAAATGTTGTCCGCATCTGGAGATTTGCTATAGATATGTGGGCTATGATAAGAATTTGATTCTATTTCTGTTCTCATCTCAACCACTAGAGTTATTTGCGGAAGTAATTTATACCTTTCCGCCTGTAAGAATCTTCAAATTCATTGTGCCACGACTTAATCTGCCTGACTAACATTCTTGAATGTGCTTGCAGGAATTTTTATTATTTGAGAGAGAGTACTTATTACTAGAAATGGAGCACAAGGAGTCCATTTCTTGACGAGCGAGCGGGTGTAGAATTTTGAGCTGATGTACTAAGAACTTTTACAATGGCAGTGATCGAGAAATGGGTGAAAGAAGGTGCAGTCCATGAACCACCATGCCCTCTATACTATGAACTTTTACAATAGCAGCGATCATGAAATGGGTGAAAGGTGAAGGCCATAAGCCACCATTGCCCTCTGGTTAATATATAGTAATGTCGAGTTCTCATCTGGCTACTTTTTCAGCCACCTTTTAGTACGTCTCGTGTGTGTGTGTGTGATGACAGATTAAATAGTCCTTGTTATGTCATGTAAGGGCTTGGTTAGCAGCGTAGAGAATATGAATATGAAATCTTGATTGTTTCATCTGGGGATTTACCTTCTTGCTTCATGTTAGTTATCCGATGTCGAGACTCAAATATTATCATGTTTTGATGAAAGATTTGCTACAATATATATTTCGAGTGCATTTTCCATATGAAATTGAATGACCCAACTTCTTACTGTGGTCTATCGTACTCGTACAATATCTCTGGGTCAAATTGAAATCAAGAGTATTTTTCCGCGAGATTTGGAATTTATATGCTCTTATTGGATTTCGTGAACAGCTGTGTTCGAGCAAAGATGTTTAGTGTAGAATTTGGTGGTTACAACGTAATGATGTAATAACCACACAAGTACTTGAATATATTTCTATGAACTCTGCTACTGAGCCCGGCTCAGTAACCGATTCAGGGACAGGGGGCTGAGGTATCTCATACATTTTTTTTTTTTAATTTCAGATCCAAGGGCTGAGGTGAAAACACCTCGGCACCCTGGGTTTGGGCCTGTTTTTTGGCCTGGCCAACAACCATTTTCCTATTTCTATTATGAATTGCCAACAAGACTTGACTGAAATGGAAGTGGATAGAAAGTTTGACCAATTTTTCGTTCTCATTATGTTGCAAGCTATAATAATGAAAAATTCTAGTCGAGTTTAAGTGCACTTTATAATTGGCTTAGAAGGATATGTCAAAAGACTACAATGAACAATATTGTGAATTTTAAGTTTCAATAAAATGTGGTACAACAAACAAAAATGATCGTATCAATACATTCGTCCATATTATTATATAAAAATTATCATATCAATATATCTGCCTAGATTATTATATAAAAATTATATTAACAATGTAATTTTTATTATTTGCACCATATTCTTTCTGTATTTTTAATGTCTTCAACTTTTGCTCATTGTCATATTTATGTTCGTTGAATTAGTCCGTCTTAACAATTTTCATTCAAGGAATTTCTTAGGAGTGTGTAAAAAAAGAAAGAAAAAAGTTTGCTCTCTTTTTTAAATAAACAAGAAAAATATATAGGCCTCGTTTGAGAGAGATTTTGAGAATTGATTTTTTGATTGTTTGGAGAAAAGTGGGGGCCATTTGTGAAAGAAAAGGTCAAACTTTACGATTTGAAATAGTAAAATAACGATCAAAAAATCAATTTTTTGAAGTGAAAAATCACTCACACCCCCATATGTAAAAACTCGACAAATTTGTTTCACCTTTTATTGGATACATGCTACAATCTGTTTTCAAATTTTGAATACGCTCATCAGCCCAACGGCAAAGGAAAAGGGCAAATTAGTAACTTCAATAAACCACCGCCCTTCACTTATAAATTCAAGTCCTAAACAGTGACACACGCCCCAACAAAAATATTTGCCCCCAAAAATTCTCCTCCAAGAAATCTCAACGAATTGGTATTTACCCCCAAAATTCTCTCCTCCTAGAAATCTCAACGAATTGGAATCTTGATTGTTATTTTGATCTACGGAAGAGAAATATTTCATATTTGTTGATTTTTGATTTGATTGATCAGGTTTGCTATTTCACATTTATTTCTGGATTTCTTTTATGTATCTAAGCATTTAGGGTTTTCGATTTTATTGTTTTTGCAATCTGTCCATCTATTCATCCACCACCATTGATGGGTCTTCGACGATCAGCCGGTCCCTTTTTCACAATTACTGGGTTGAATTCTTCTGATTTTCCTTGGTGGATTTTTTGGGTTTCGAACTTTAGGACCTTTTTCTCGTTTTATATATCCTTGGATTTTTGGCGCTCGTCGAATTGGAAAAATTCATGAAATTAAGGTTTCTAATACATGGATTAAGTGGTTATTCATTAAGGTTTCTAATACATGGATTAAGTGGTTATTCATTAAGGTTTCTAATACATGGATTAAGTGGTTATTCATTAAGGTTTCTAATACATGGATTAAGTGGTTATTCATTAAGGTTTCTAATACATGGATTAAGTGGTTATTCATTAAGGTTTCTAATACATGGATTAAGTGTTATTCTGAGGATCTTATTGGACGTTCTTCGCTACAATGAAGATCTAATGACTCTAACTCTACATCCTTAAGCTAGGGTTTGATTTGTGGGTTGATAACCAATGGGCATCCTTCCCTTATAAGATAATTTTAAGGGTGAGCTCTACCAATGTGGTTCTTACAATTGGTATCAAAGTGTGCATCCTTCCTTTTTGGCAACGTGGAGAAGGCTACTCCTAGTAGAAGACTAGTTCCGTGAGATCACTGGGAATATGGGCTGACTTGGACCTCGATTTGTAAAAGGGGTGTAATGTAATTAATCTAATTGTATTCCACATTCCGGACCTTACACTTGGTTTCTGGAATTATAACCTATTGGGTGCCCTCCATCTACAGCCAGTTTAAGGGTGAGAAGTTCTACCCGATGTTGTTTTTAGAGAAGACTTGTTAATTGTTATTTCCCATTTAGGAATCTAAGTCTTTAGTTTTTTAATCGGTCAATAAGTTGGATCTTCGACAATAGGTGGGTTTTCTGGACTTATCTTGGGTTTTACAGAATCAGAAATATAAGGTTTCTGCTACATGAAAAGTAGGTTTTCTGAGGGTATTCCGGGAAATTTCTGGCTATAGTGAAGTTTGATTATTGCTGCCTCTCGAATATGGTTATGATATACAGGTTTTTATATGTTCTTTTCAACCGTTGGTATCTAGTACTTGTTAGTAGAATCTCAGATATTGGTTGAGACAGCCTCAGATGGTATCCAAGTGGTTGGATTTCGGAGCTCAGTTTTTGCACATTTGGATACTTGTTCCTTTGTGGCATACGATAGAGGAATTGTATTTGGAGATCAGAAATTTGAATTTGATGGATATACTGAATTGTAATTTTGCATTTGGATTTCCTATCTTGGCAAGATAGAGATTATTGTCTGAATGGAAGCAAGCGCCTGCTTTGACTAACCCGTGATTTGCTGTGTGTATAGTAATATAATGGATGTCAAGGCGGCAAGGAGAGTCACTGTCTTCAATCGACTTGAAGGAGGATTTGCAAAAAACAAAGTCTGCGCCTACTGGCTATCTGGGAGATGCAATCGTGATCCATGCAGGTTCATGCACAGAGAATCACCCCCACAAACTAGGCAGACCCATGCAGCATCACCTGAGACTCATTACCTAAAATCTACCAGAAGGACTTGGAGGAATCCTAATTTCCACACTCCTAAGAATGGTACAGTTTTAACTAATGAAGGAGATTGCTCTAACTGTACAAGTGGTAAAGTTTCCCAACAAGGTGTCTTAGCAAAGAATGGAAGAAAAATTGATCGGAAGGACCAAGAAATGGTCATAACCTCCAATGGAAGTATCCACTGTCGGCAGACCATGCAAAAGACTGCTGAAGCAGTTGAATCTGATAGTAAATCTGTTCAAAAAACCCTGCCAAAGCTATGTAAGTACTGGGTTACAGACAATTGTGTCCATGGCGATAAGTGCAAGGACGTGCACTCTTGGTTCTGTGGATCTGGATTCACGATGATGACAAAGTTAGAGGGGCACACTAAGGTGTTTGCTCATCTGATAACAATGCTTTTATATTATTTCGAATCATATTTAGCCCTTGTTTGAGCTCCATTTTATCAAAAACTCATTTTTGAACACACACTCCAATAAAATTATTTTAGGCGTAAATCGAAAATATTTTCTTATTTTTTAACTACACATTCCCCAAAAAATACTATTTCAAAATACATTTTTTCCCCAAAATGGGGTTCAAACAAGGGCTTATTCTGTTTGTAATTTCCCTATGTTTTTGCACTCCTATTGGAACTGCGTTTCTTTTATACAGTTTTTATGAAATGTTTAGACAAACTATTGTATTCAATATTAACAATATTTCTTTCTAATGGAATTTTGTCCAGAACATTACAGGAATTGCTCTCCCATCTGGTTCTGACAAGCTATACTCTGTTAGTAAAGATAGAACTCTCCGCATTTGGGACTGCAACAGTGGTCAGGTATGGATAGTTTTACTTCTCTCAGTTAATATATCACATTGGGTAAATATGATGTGTGATCAATGATATGATTATTCAACCTCAATGCAGTGTGCTGGCGCTGTTGATCTCGATGGTGAAGTTGGGTGCTTGATTAGTGAAGGTCCATGGCTGTTTGCTGGATTGCCTAATGCTATTAAGGTAAATAATGTTCTTTGTGTAGTTAGTTACATTTTACCATGACAGAATTGACTTTGCTCAGTTTTTGAGTCCTTGTCGAAATTGGTTTCTTTTTACTTATAGGTTTTTTGGTCATTTAGGGATGGAATTTCCAAGCTCAAACAGAACACTCTCTTAGTGAACCTGTTGGTCGAGTTTATTCTATGGTTGTGGACAATAATATGCTTTTTGCTGGAACAGAGGTAACTAATTCTCTAGCTCTTCAGTGTTTCGCTATTATTAAGTTTGTGATTTTGGATCTGTAGTATTGGGAGCACATTTGTTAGCACAGTGTGGTTGTTTAAGCTGAGGAAGATTTGGGTAAATTATTCACTGAAATTCACATCTTGTTGACTATTATCCACATTCTGGTTTCTCATTTTTATATATCTTATGGCTCCAGGACGGTACCATATTAGCATGGAAATGGGGTACTGAAACCAACATTCCTAAACTGGCTGCAAAGATGAAGGGACACAATGGTGCAGTGTGTTCACTTCTTGTGGGAGCTAATAATAGGCTTTATTCGGGTTCGATTGACAATACCATACGGGTATGCTCTCTGATACGAGATTTATTTTTCTCCACCTCTTAGTAGAGATGAATCGTATATATATGTTGCCAATTTACCCATTTGGCTTATTGATCCATGTTAATATGTGAAATGGGAACAGTTACCCTTTATATGCAATTATCAGTCATGTTGCCACTATTAGGACTATTGTTTTGATATGTCTAGTCTTTTAATTTGTCTACTTCCCAAGTTATATTTTGAGCAACTGTTGTCAGAGTTGGAGTCCCTACAACCTTTTTTCCTACTTCCCCCTCCATTTGTTTGATTCGTTCTTTTTTTATAGTTCAATGTTTTGAACTCACTGAAGAATTTTGCTCATGTATCTGCTTTCCAGGTTTGGGACCTCCAAACTTTGCACTGTATACAGACATTACACGGGCATACCGGGGATGTAACATCTGTCATTTGTTGGGACAGATATTTGATATCTGCTTCTGTGGACAACACAATAAAGGTTTGTCACTTCACTGCCATAGATCACTAGTTAGGTTTTGCTTTGGTTCCTGATGGTTATAATAAGATAATTCTCACAGGTTTGGGCTGCAACTGAGGTTGGGAACTTGGAAGTGGTCTATGAGCTCAAGGAAGAATGTGTAAGTTAAAAACTGTTCATATACGACTTCTCTGGAATGCATTATGTGCATTGTATTGCATACCTCTGCCTGTTCTCTGTCTCTTTTGGTCTTTCAGACTTCTTACACGTTCTACATATGTTAATCTTTCAGGGGGTTGCTGCTCTTTCTGGCATGACAGATGCCGAAGCTCAGCCTATTCTTTTCTGCTCATATAACGACAATACTGTTCGCATATATGACTTGCCCTCGTTAGTATCATCAAACTATTATTATCCTTGTTGATATTATTCACCCCCTCTGTGCTGGCTTGTTCATTGTTTATATATGGTTGTAGGTTTAATGAAAGGAGCAGAATATTTTCGAAAGGGGAAGTCCAAGTGATTCAAATTGGCATTGGCGGTCTCTTTTTCACTGGTGATGCAACTGGACAGCTCTCCGTCTGGAAATTGCTTGGAGTTCCATGTGCAAAGGAATCTTGAGAGCTGTTATTTTAGAAAAGCTGATGTCTAGCTGGTCTGGATTCCTACCGGCTAAAGCTATCAGTTTGAATTTGTATTCCTCACACTACTGTGTTTCATTGTTGACAATGTTATGATCCATCCTTCGGTTGTATTCTATTCAGATATGATGTATTTTTGGTAGCAAAAGCTACTGTATGTTGTAATATATGTATGGTCAGCGAATACAATTTTTTTGTCATGAGAGAGGAAAGCCCTTGTGTAAATGTACACTCACTTCAAAATGAAAAGATCATTCTTATTTTTACATAGTAACATCTACATTTTTTCCATCATGTTTTGCGTTATGCAAATTTCAGCTCACGGTGTCTGATCCGTGTCTATCCTGGAGTCGAGTAATTTTATAGTGAATTTTTTCATTAGTTGGTCAAGCAGGTTATATGCAAGAGCATTCGAGATGCTACAGCAAATAAAAGTTTCCTTCTGTTATGTTAAAAACAGAGCTTAAGTCTCATCTCACTATCCATTAATCTCATGTACTCTTGAAACCTAATGAGCCATTAACGAAAGCCAAAACACCTGACAATAAATCAAAACGGTAATCCCTACAACCTATAAACAAAAAAGGGGTATTGCAGCCTAACTTGGAAGAAGAATACGCACTTTCTGCATTTTGTAATCTTCCTGTACTTGTATTGATGCTGCTATCCTCTTTACACAATGCTAGTAAAGAACACGTGCTTTCTTTTCTCTCCTCTCTTGGCTACAGTGCTCACTTTCTAACTTACCTTTTGGCTGGGGCTAATACCTTCTGTCGTGCATGTCTCTTCAGTGCCATTAGGTGTGGTGTCACGGGGCTTTTTCCAACGAGCTCCGATGGCATCAAGTTTTCTCGTCCCCAACAAGTCAACACATGAATTTTACACTTACACAAGTGATGAACACACGAACTTGACTAAGTAAAAAGGCAGAAGATCGATGTAATTGAAACAGTAAAGAAAAACACAGATTAACGGGCCTTCTCAACTTTATTTCTATAAAACAAGGAAACTCACTACAAAAATCGTGAAGGATCAACACATCCATTGTTGTCTCATCACTGCATTCACTGCTCTATATATCTAGAATGCACCAACACCAAAGATTATTCGGTTTTCCAAGCATACTTTCTAGTTGCTGCGGAATGCTCACTCCACAAGTTTTGGGACGCCTATATTCCTGTTGAGAATACTGCTCTTCATGGGCAGCATTCTCTCTCTCCTGCCGCTGCTTCTGAGGTTGGTTTTCTTGTTTCTCTGGGTTCATTGGTATGGAATCTGATGACTTCTTGCGTTCACTCCACAAGTTTTGGGACGCCTATATTCCTGTTGAGAATACTGCTCTTCATGGGCAGCATTCTCTCTCTCCTGCCGCTGCTTCTGAGGTTGGTTTTCTTGTTTCTCTGGGTTCATTGGTATGGAATCTGATGACTTCTTGCGTTTGTTCTGGTTTTCGATTCTTGCTACCGGATATGGACTGAGGATTAGAACATTGATTGAAATTTCAAATATGGAAAAAGGAATGAAATGGGAAAGGATATCACCAAGCACAAAATGCTAAAAAGTTCTACCTCTGCAATTAAAACAAAACTAGAAGCCGAATACCTCTTCTCCACACCATCATGAACAATACTGAAGATAACACAAGCATTTATTATTATAAGGAGATAAATAAATACAAAACCAATAAATTCGAGGTTCAAATAAAATAGAGGAAGAAAATTACTCGAGATGTTTCTTAATCCGCTGTATAAGGGTATTTCTATTGCCTGCTGTGCTTCCTCAAATAAACTTTGCATTGATCCACTTTTAGTTTCTCAATCATACCACCTGATCCCATAACAAAACACACACCCAGTTTAGCCAACTCATTTCACACACACACAATGACAACTTTACTGCATTATTCTATAATTATGCGTGCGCATGAAATAAAGTTCAAATCTTATAAAGAATAAATAAAACAGAAAATGCATTTTTGAACAGTTTCGTAACTTTTCTGATCCTTTCTCATCGAACTATGGCAGAATCATCTCGATAACATCAGGGTCTTCCTCAGTATTCTCGTTCAATTCCTTTGCGGAACTATCAGATGCAAGAAAAGACAAGCCCACAAAATTTAGCATCTATAAACAATCACCGCACTAAGTAGAATCAAAATTGACATCGTCGTATGATACCTGCATTTGGATTTTTTCTTGATCCTTAGGTTTGAGAACTTGATCGAGTCTCCTCAACTACATCGAAATTTGGGGCAGCTTGCGAATCATCGTATGAGTCTGTATCCAATTCACAGTAATCTTTTCGCCCAGAAATTTCCGTTTGTACTGAATTCATTTTTCAGAAGTAAAGAAAAATCTTTCTGATTCCGTTTCCTCTCCATTAAATTACATTCCGTCACATTTTTTTTTTTACCCCTCCTATTTTAAAGCTTACAATTTTCTATAAAATAATATTATATATAAATCTAGAACTTTTCATTCTTTTTTAACGTCTCATTTTTCAAAAAAATACTATTTCATCCATTTTCATTACCAAAAATGGGGCCAAATGGAGACAAAGGTGCATCTAACGAGTGTCTTTCAAAATATCAATTTTGAGCGTGGCATATCCATTTTCAATGATTTTAATAGCAGTTTTCAAAATTGTCCAACCAGTATACAGAAGTTTATCCATATATTCTAAAAGTTATTTAAAAAAGAATAAAATTATATATATGTCTTTTAGTAAAATTTTCATTTTATAGTTTCTTATATGAATTTTTTCTCATAAGCGATATTTTACTTGGAATGTGTTTGATTATGAGCATGAAATTTATATTAAAAGAAAATAAATTCTAATCAATTGAATTGTATAGAAATTGTCAATTAAGTGTGTGTGATTATTTTATTTTCAACCTAAAAAATGAGATATTTGTCCAGTTTTTATTGGTATGTGGACGGGAGAGAGGGGGTATATGAGAGATAAATGGTGAATTACTTGAAATAAAAGCCTACTCATCCTAAATAATATATTTTTCTTATTTTCAAGGAAAATATGGTCAGATAACCAAAAGTAGGAAAATATTTTTCATGAAAAAAATATCAATCAAACAATACAAAGTAGGAATTGGGTTGAAAGATGACATTTTCTCTAGAAAATATTGGCAATTGAATACACTCTTATAAATAATTTTAATTTTAATATACATTTTTAAATATTTTTAATTATAATGTAATTTTTTTTGCTTATATATAATTTTTAGTTAATATAATTTTTGTTATGAGAAGAAAGAAAAAAAAGAAGAGAGAATAAAAGTCAATAAACTTGTATGTGTTTTATTAAAAATCAAAGTCCTATATATTATAAGAAAGAATCAGGGATACAACGGTAATAATTTCTAAAGTTACAGGAATACAATTGTCATTCACTGATAAATTTACTATTTAGAAAATTTTTATTTACAAGTTAGTTTTGAAGAAAATATTTTTGATTGAAACTAATTATTTTATAAAGGGTTAAATTAGATGAAAATATGATAAACAACCAAAATTCGTCGATTTGATGGGTTGAGAGAATCGAGCAAAATCGATACCAAAAAAAATAAAAAATAAAATTAGCAAGCATCGATTTTTTCAATCCCTCGAAAACAGTGCTAACCAAAATCAATCAAAATCAGTGAAAACAAACTCCCAAGTCGGCCCCTAGGGTTCTTTCTAGTGAAAACGAGAAATGTGACCGTTTTAACTTGTTGAATTGGAACGTATGAATTTGAACTTAGTTACAAGTTTGGTGAAAATCAAAATTCAATTTTTAATCTAAATCAAAGTTAAAATAATTACTTTTAATAACACATTTTATTTGTTCCACAACTTTCTAATCACACATTTTATCAATTTTTATCAAAATTTACTTAAAATCTGATTTTAATTCCCACCAAATAAGGGTATAATGCTATTTAACACCCGTAGTATTGGAGCATAAATTTAAGTGTTATAATGTGATAGATTAAATTAAAAATGAAATTATATGATTCATCTAATTGTGCCTATCATTTAATGTCACTTAGGTGCGTTTAGATAGATGTTGTAAAATTAGTTGTACTAAATAACATAATTCTACTTTAAAAGGGGTTTCTACGAGTTAAGTACTTCATTAGTTATTGAACTCAAATCTCCGTCACGTTTTGAACACTGAACTTTAAAATACTTTCAAATGGTTATTAAACTTTAATGCATTGTACTCCATCAAACACTCACCATGTTTCATTACTCACTGAATTTTTAGAATACTATATAGTGGTCACTAACATTTAACATGTTGCATTTTATCACTCACTCACCATGTTTTATTAGTCAAACTTTTAAAATACTTTTAAGGGGTAACTGAAATTTAACATATTGTACTCCACCACTCACTCGTGATGTTACATTAGTAATTGAATTTATATCTTTGTCACACATTACTCATTAACTTTAAAATACATTCGAGTGGTCACTGACTTTAAAATGCCTTTGAGTGGTAACTAATTTTTGATGTGTCATTTTCGAGTTTTAAATTCATTTGAAGTGAATAAATATTTATTTATTTATTTTATAAAAAAGTACTATATCACGACAAAAGAAAAGCTCAGTTAGGAGACGTGGCATAACTAAAGAGGCCGATACCAATGAAGCACTAAAAACAGACAATTTATAAAATTGCCTTTGTTTTTGTATGAGGAAACACGTTTAATTTACTTATTTAATTTCCATTGTTAAGATTTGGGGTTCATCTTAATAAGGTCAACCTTATTAAGAGAAGTGATCCAAAATCTATTTAAGTTGGTCAATATTTCGATATTTAACCGATATAAGATTTATTTCCTTAACATGCCCCGCAAGATGGTGGCTCTTTTTGAGCAGACCAATTTTGAAATTCGTGAGCTCATTTTTAGAGTCTTAATCGGATCGAATTGCTCGTTGGAGTTTAATAGGCTTTGATACAATGTTAAAATTTGGGATCCATCTTAATAAGGTCAACCTTATTAAGAAGAGTGATCTAAAAACTATTTAAATTGGTCAATATTTCAGTACTTAACCGATATGAGATTTATTTTCTTAACAGTCATACTCACATTTAGAACTCGAGAATTGATATTTGATTATTTCATACTTAAATGCCAGCTTATGACAGTGACGTTTGGTTACGAATCCTATAAATTCCGACCTTTATGCTGGAATAGATGCTGTGATTTCAAAGAATATCCCCACGAATGTCTTTATCAAATTTTACTAAAAAAATTACTTAAGATTAATTATGGTAAACAAAACACGTTAAGCGTCTTAATTAAGTTAATTCTTTCATAAGCAGCTTTCCCTCCTGCTGAGTGCCTGCAAAACTAATCCAAGTTAAGTTGAAGAAAAGGGCTTCTTACAACTCATGTGTAAGTCTCTTATAAGAATAAAAAATCTGAAAAAATTTAGTTTAAGAAAAGGGCTTCTTGCACTTTTTTGCTAAAAAATTCTTGCTAAAATATATTTTTCCAGCATTTTTTTTCCATCTTTATTGTGACTTAAGCAGAGTTTCCTCAATGGCGGTGGCATCATCTGTAGTCTCTCCAATGTGCACTTGGATAGTAGCAGCGGGCATGTCTGTGGCGAGTGAAAAAACCCATATTTTTAAGTCATCACACAATTTACAGTTCTCAAAGAGGCTGAGTAGAAGAAAATTGGTGGCTCAGAG